TGTAATTTTATAAACAACATTTCTCTTACTTCTATCTTGGATGTATTTTGTGGTGAATATGTTTGTGTTACTGTATGTACTGCATGTGGCATATGTATGCAATGCTACCTTAGAATTTGGATTTAAAAAAAGTTATCTTTCCTACCTTTTGGAACACCTTTAATTTTGGAAGCATGGTGCCGGTGAAGCCTTAAAATGTTTGCTACTGTACATAAGCAGAGCCTATATTTATTTATTTAATTTTGTGGAGTTTAGCAATTGCTGGGAAATCTTATGTTGTCTATTTTACTAACCATTCTATCCAGGCAAGAACCAATTCAACCAAGCAAAATAGAATCCTAAGAGACATTCTGCAGCAGATGTATCAGTGAATGCAACAGAATCAACATTCAGCTCTTAAATTTCAGCTCTAGATTTAGCTGTGTAAGTTGCCACAGGGGTTATATAACATACACGCCCATTCATCCAGGCACCTCTCATATTTGGAGGATCTCAATGATTTATTTGAGAATAGAAACAATTCCTTCAAGAACCCTCCCATGACTCATAAAACCTGTGAATCAAAGTCAACACACAGTCTCATATGAACATGTTCATCAAATTACACTATTGTGCTTTTCAGTAGCTTTGCAAATAGGCCTATGTCATCACTGCATTCTGTATTTTTCATAACGTATATTCATGATTGCATCAGTGCTTAGTGTAATGGTTCATAAAACTGTAATTGAACTGAATATGGCCTATTGACAAAAGTCTGAAGTATGCATTTTCTGTTTTCTTATATTTTAGAGTAAATGTAGAATAAACATTGTATGAAATTAAAATTTAATTAACTAAATTTACATTTTATTTGTTCACCCTTAAATAAAAATGTGTATTAAGGACTATTAAGTACTAATGCTACTAAAACAATCCATATGACTTACGTACTTGTGTATTTTCTAGTCTTTTAAAGTTGTGTGATATCTTTGTGTGAGAACCAGACTGAAAATTAAGTCTATGTGATGAAAATGTTCATCACACTTGGTTTAACATATGAAATTGCTAATTTGAATATAAACATTAATGTGCTTGCAGAGCTTCAGAGCTTCATATGTGGCCTAGTAGTTCCAGGAATATTGAGCTTTGGAGTTTATACAGAAGATGCAAGTTTTAATCTGGCCTGTATTACTGTCGCGTTCACAAGAAAAAAAAGTCTCCTGACTACTATTAAATTCATTTCTAATGATGAATATCTTTTGTACTGGACTGATCAAACAAACAACACTGGATTGGTATGTCTGTAAAGATGAATGCTGGCGGAGACATCTTTGCCTCCGAGCATTCAGATGAGTTCCCAAGGCTGATTGGGCTTCAGAAGAATTTTCTAGAATTTTCTTTAACATAGTTTATCCAACTCTGATGGGATACAGTGGGACTGGCCCTAGCATTTTGGAGGCCCTAAGCAGTTTTTAAAATGGGGACCCCAAATACAGATTCACTTACCACCCCCGTCTCCAATGTATGTGTCCTGCACATTATTGTAAAGTGTTACTGAATTTTCTTATTTCTTATCTTTGATTATATACAAGATATGAAGATCTGTCACATGTATCCTCTGTTTTAGTTTCATTTTCATGGACTCTTAGGGTGCTTCTCAAACGGAAGGCTGCATGTCTCGGCTGCCATGTCATCAATAATATAAGGATTTGTAATAGAAAGTATTTTTCCAAAAATAAGTTTTATTAGTATTTTGTCATGACGGTGAGGGCGAGAACATATTTTCCCCAAATATATTTATTGGCATTTTGTGCAGACACAACATCTTATATATACAAAAATTAGTAATCCACAATTCTGCTTTTCTCCCTCCCAATCCCCCATCCCCTCAACCCCTATTATCTTAACCACATAACACAAACGAATGCAAATAACAATAATACTGTAAGTGTAGTTATTAAATGATACAATAAATGTACAAAGGAAAAGAAAAGACTTTTGTACAAAATGTCTGATCTGAAAGAAGCGAAATAGATGGGTTTTAGGTAGATTAAACTTTTCTGACAATTCTGAAAATGGTAAGAATATACCTTTATCATACAAGTCCTTGACGGTTCCAAGACCCCTAGAAGACCAGTCATGAAAAACTGGATCAGAACATGATGGTAGAAAAGATACATTGTTAACTATAGGTGCAAGAGCTGACGGTCTGATTAACCCAAAATGCTTCCAAAAATGAACCTGTAGTTATTAAATGATACAATAAATGTACAAAGGAAAAGAAAAGACAAATAAATAAATAAACAAAACCAAAAACAGAGAGGGAAAAAAAAACTGTTAATCCTCTTCTGCATCTTCAAGTGACAGATCAATAGTATCAATATAATTCAAGAAAAGTTTCCATGTTTTATAAAAGGTTTTTAAAGACCCTTTTAGAAAGTGTCTCAGCTGCTAAATTGATTGGGAACAGTAACCAGAAAATTTGCCAAACGAATCAAAAATTTGGAGGATTGGTGGTAATGATGAAGTGGGGTTAGTTATATATAAAAGAAGGTCATCTGCATAGAGCCTTGAGTAATTCAGAGGGGTCATAATTCAAAGAATCTATTGATTCATAAATGACAGAGATTAACCCTCTTCTATCTGGACTAAGAGAAAGAATGGTATCCATTTTTGAATCAGGAGGAAGATTAGGAAACTGAGTGAGAGACAGCATAACCTCGGCAGTGTCGGAACTCGAAGAAAGGATGGTATTAAAAAGTCTTCTGGTGTTATAAAAAGAGTGTCTGCCAGCCATGAAGCCTGTCTGGTCAGGGGAAATAACAGCAGGCAACACTTGCTGAAGGCGAAGGGCAAGGATCTTAGATAAAATTTTAAAATCCACATTTAACAAAGAAATTGGCCTGTAACTACTGCAGAGCAATGGATCTTTATCTTTCTTTAGCAACAATGAAATGGATGCCTCAGGCATGGTTGTTGGGAGCCACCCTGAAAGAAAGGCCTCATTATATACTCTTTGTAGTATTGGGGCTAGAACAGAAGAGAAAGTTTTAAAAAAGTCAGTGGTAAAGCCATCAGGGCCAGGAGATTTACCATTTTGAAGTGAATGAATTGCCTCTTGTACTTCCGTGATAGACACAGGCCTGCCCAAATCATTTGTGGAGCCATCATTTACGCAGGGGAATATTAGTTGATCGAAGGGGTTAGGGTCGCTCAATAATTTTGAGTCGCATTCCGAGGAATAAAGATCTGAGTAATATTTTGAAAAAATCTAATTAATTTCCTCTGGGTCAAAAACTACGTCACCCTTAGGAGATTTAATTTTGGGGATCAGTCTAGATGTGCGGGCAGTTCGAGATTGAAATGCAAGTAATTTGCCAGCTTTTTCACCAAATTCAAAAAAATGTTGCTTGGCACTCAACAGTTGTTTTTCAACTTTGTGAGTTAAAAGTAAATTATACTCTGAAAGGAGTTGAAGCCGTTTTTTGTACATTGTGGGTGAGGGGGTCAGAGAATATTGAAGGTCTAGTTTAGAAAGGTGGTTAGATATTTCTGCCATCTTGGAGTTCTCGGATCTCCTCAACTGACAGACATATGAAATTATCTGTCCTCGCATATAAGATTTAAATGCCTCCCATAATGTATTACTGCTAACAGAATTGTTGTCATTTATTTCAAAATATAGATTTATATGAGATGTGAGGTAATCTTTGAAATTGTTATCAGAAAGTAAATGTGAACTAAATCTCCATTGTTTAAAATAAGTTCTGGCTTGTGGAAGCATTAAATCCAGAGAGGTGGGGCCATGATCAGAGATGACTATACTATGATAGTCACAAGAATTGACAGAGTGCATCATTCTATTATCTAAAAGAAAAAAATCGATTCGTGAATATGAATGGTGAACATGTGAAAAAAAAGAGAAGATTTTGCTAGTTGAAAACCTTGATCTCCTGGGATCTGACAGGCCAATCTGTTTAGTATAAGACTCTAAGAGCCTGGCAGAGTTGGGCAATGTGGAATGTTTTGAAGAAGACCGGTCCAGAATTGTATTTTGAACCAAATTAAAATCTCCCCCTATAATTATGTGGTGACTATCAAGATTAGGGAGTACAGAAAAAAAATGAGCAAAAAATTTATCATTGTCCCAATTGGAGCCATATATACATGTACATGCTAAAACAACTGGAATTGTTTGTAAAATTCCAGACACAATCACATAACGACCATTCGGATCTGAAACCACTGATTCCGGTTCAAAAGCAATGTTCTTATGCACAAGGATCGCTGCCCCTCTTGCCTTCACACCAAATTTGGAGTGAAAACAGTGACTTATCCATGCACTCTTAATGCGAGAAACATCTGAAGTGCGAAGATGGGTTTCTTGTAAAAAGATTATATCTCCTTTAAGGGACTGTAAATGTGAAAGAACTTTTTTGGTCTTTACGATGTTATTTAAACCTTTTACATTCCAAGAGATAAAACAAATATTTATATTTGATCTTGTTGTATTACCAGCCATTTGAATCATGAATAACTATTGTAAGACCCTGATCCATGTGATGCAGAAAAGAGATAAATACAAAAGAGAAAAAAATAAAAATAAAAAAATCGATCCGTAAAAAATAGTCAGATACCCCTAACCTCCCCTTAAACATCCAAACAATAACTTCCATATCTCTCTGGATACCTTACTTCCTTTTTCACTCCTATTTATACTGCAAACCTTATATTTCCCCAATAACACATTTTAACCCCCAAACGCAAAATAATATATAAAAATGTACTTTAACAGCCCATCGAATAAAGCTTGTTCAATCAAAAATATGGCATACAACGACTATACAATTTCTAATGCAGTTCAAAGGCAATAGAGGTCGTTAAATCTGAACGGGTGCAAAACAACCTCTGCTACGAGACAGTAGGAATGGCCAATGTAAAACAGATAACCGAAATCTGTATTAGATTAATACAGCTCCTAACTTACATAGTTCCTATAACAACGGTGCCATTCAGCATAGGATTGCTCCGCTTCTTGGCACAAATGTCAGGCACACCAGATTATTGAGAACCGCCGCGCTGAGAATCCAAATTTCGCCAAATCATATTTGATCGCCAAAAACTTCAAAAAGCAACTCGGAGAAAAATATAATTGGCCGCGGACCCTCTATCGACTCAGGCACTCCGATGATCCTTATGTTGTTCCGTCTACTCCGCGCTTCCAGATCAGCGGTCTTGGCTTTAAGCTTTGCGTTACTCTCCGTCAATGTTGCGAGGGAAGTTTCTAGACGTTCCACCCGTTCATCTAGTGACTCCGCATGGGACTCAAGCGTGGTAAGTCTCTGTCCATGATCGGATACCATAGCTTGCACACAGTCAAGTTTCACTTCTAATGTTGAGATCGCAGCCTTGAACTCAGCCGCCAAGGCCACTCTTATGTTCTTCCAGCAAGTCTGTTAGAGCCGCCATGTTCACTTCGCTCGAGGTCGCGGGCGCCTCGGCTCTCGTGTTGGCTTCTTTCTTAGATGTTTTTGCTGTTTTGGTTGCCATTTTAGACAGACACTGTTATCCAAAAGTCGTCTTGTTAGTTTTTATAGTTTGTCCAAAAAAGTCGGTGGGGTAGTTGAAGGAATAAACGAAGCTAGACGGGGAAGATAGACAAACACGTCTACTCCATTGCGCTTCTCACCGGAAGTCATCCTTGCACTTTTGAACGCTTTTTTGTATATTAAAATACATACCAAAATCCACCCATGTAAGGCAGAAAAATGTTTTACTGTCTCAGACTATAAGATAAAACATTGAAAAAGTTTAAAAATAAAATAGAAATTTTCCAGCTGCAATAATTATATTTGTATACAGAAACATTTGTAAAAGAGACCTGTTTGATGTTATCAAACCTTAACAAAACAACTAAAAACACTTGATAAATATACAACATGAAAAAGTTGTAATGCAAATGTTTTCAAAATGTACATTTTAGGCTGAGTACAAAATCAGACCAAGAATCCAAGCTATCTGATTATTATAAACAGAATTAACTTGATGTTCCCAGGCTGGGTAAACTGGGATTAATCCAGTAAGAAATTTTGAAAATCTTTGCAAAAACTGGTTTATTATATGTCAATTCATATAGGGTGAAACCAGATACAATGGGACACTTTTAATAGTCTCATTCTCACTGTCCTGTAATGGCCCAACTGAGCTGGATTCACCCTATCTATGGCCTCTCTCATTCACTGAAATGGGCAATGAGGTCCCAAAGATGTAATCCCAGTGTCTGAAGTAAGGGGCGAAGTTCCCTTTAAAGTGCTGATGGTGGGCCAGGTGGTACGGTGCCCCGCCAAAGCACGGCAACAACCGATGCAGGGACCAAGGAAAGTCATATCCACAGTGATCCTCCACAGCCAACCAGGTGTTAACCAGATGGAAAAGGATTTCGCTAAAAGGGTGGCAGCCCACAAGCATGGCACTTATAAATGCAAGGGTTTGTAGAGACAGCAGTTCAGAAATACTGGAGTCTTGAGCTGCCAGAGCAAAAGTGTCCCTGTTCTGATGGTGAATGTGGTGGACGTTGTGGTACAGCCAGGGAGTTCTGGGAAAAATACAGACATTTTATGTAGTTATATATAATAATATTATATATAATATAAATATGAATTCAAATATTTAATATAAATAGATACATAAATTATGCATAAATATGGGCCTTGCTAAAGTTACAAGTGGAGACAACAAGAGTGAGATGTGATAATGACATCAACAGATTATGAAAGAGGAATGGATGTGAGTGTTTTTTCTATATGAAATTTTGAGCTGTGCACATGTTTATGTGTGTTCCTTATATTTGTGAATCTAAATTTATAAAGTAGTTGGAGTCATGGCACTGCTAATGCACATGCTTCTAGCATATACAGAGATTTTTTTGTAATCTGGCCAGATCCATGCTTTACGTGTCTTGTCTACTCTGAAACCTATATAAACTACACTAGACACTACACAACTACACATTGAACTACACTAGCAGGTGAGAAGATTC